GTGAGTTCCATCAAGCACAATCTTGGCATGCATCCTCTGACTGTATCAACATAGCTTCCCTCTCCTTATTAACAAGCACAAACCACAGAGATATGTGGTACTCTTGTATGTTATAGCTGACTGCCAAAAATCGTAAATGATTTTGCAGAAACTGAAATTAGCTTATGTTTACAACATTAATGATAAATAGAACAGATTTGATTAGTAACAGTGTATGTGAATGGCCTGTGTACATATATGTTTGAAGGGGGAATGTATGTATAATGGCAGTTTGATTGGATGAGGGTGGAAAGGAAACTTTTCCTACTCAAAATGTTATAATTATGTCATGCAAAGCCCACATTAAGAGTAAACAGGAACACATGTGCACCATACTTTGTTTTTTGTTAATTTTGTTCTAGATTTTCCTTGGCATTTAAGCACTGAAATTGTGTGAACAGAAAGTCTGCAGATGTTTTTTGTTAAATGGCATGTAGCTAGATTGTTAGAGCAAGGAGTTTGTAGATAACTGGACGTTGGTCAGTCTACTAATTTACTCTTTATCACACACAGGGATCACGGACCTTGCACCAAAATGGAAATGTGAGAGAAAATGTATATTGAAGTCTTTTAAGAATTGAAGGTTTGTATATTAGATATTAACACTTCTGATTCAATGTAGGCACAGACAAATGGTTTTGTGCCAGACAACCGTCGGACAGGTGGTTGTAAGTTTTGTCTCTGGAGTCTGAATCACTAAGTATCCTGTTCATAGTTTTACATTTAATGTTATTTCTGGTTAAACATTTCCTTTGTGGGTTATTTATAACTACTTGTTATATATGTCATATAGCTTCCTTTCAAGTGATGTTAAGATGTCAGAAATCTTGTTTGATCTGTGTTTTGTAATACTGTAATTAAATATCAGGTTCCTGCATATTTCACTGATTCTTTGGTACATCAACACCAATCTGCATCAGGTAGAGTGTACCATGCATCAAGTTAAGGTATATAATTATCCTTCATAAGGTTACTGCTATGATATGTGTTGAAGCCATTTCCTACACATGTATTCAATATAAAACACATTTGCCATGCATTGTTACAGAATGATAGTTGTTCAGAATTAAAGTACAGGTACAGTGTATTTAGAAATGAAAATAAAACCAAAACACAAAAAAAGGCCAAGGGTACTCAATTTTGTATAAGTGGTGGGTGTGGCCCCCCTGGGGGCAGAGGGGCGGGGCAGAATAGATGAAATAGATGTAAAACCTTTAAAATCCTTCTCCTACCGTAGGGATTAAGGGATTTTATCCAAATTTAGTCTGGAGCATCCTTAGGCCAATGGGACTGAATTTTGTATAAACAGTGGGTGTGGCCCCCCCTTGGGTGTGGCCCCCCTTGGGGGCAGATAGGCAGGGCAGAATAGGTGAAATAGAGGTAAAACCTTTAAAATCTTTCTCCTACTGCAGAGATAAAGGGAATTTATCCTTATTTAGTCTCGAACATCCTTAGGCCTAGGGGACTTAATTTTGTAAACATGGTGGGTGTGCCCCCCCCTCCCTCCCCCCCTGGGGGCAGAGGGGCGGGGCCCAATAGGGGAAATAGAGGTAAATCCTTTAAAATCCTTCTCCTACTGCAGAGATAAAGGGATTTTATCCAAATTTAGTCTGGAGCATCCTTAGGCCAAGGGGGACTACATTTTATATAAATGATGGGAGCGGCCCCACCTGGGGGCAGGGCAAAATAGGGAAATAGAAGTTAAACCTTCAAAATCCTTTTTCTACTGTAGGAATTAAAGGATTTTATCCTTATTTAGTCTGGATCTAGCATCCTTAGGCCGAGGGAACTCAATTTTGTATAAACAGTGGGGAAATATAGAAGTAAACCTTTAAAATCCTTTTTCTACCATAGGGATTAAATGATTTTTTTTTTATCCCAATTTGGTCTGAAGCATCTTTGGGCAAAAGGGAATTAATTTTGTATTAACAAATTCTGTAGGAATGACATCTAAAGCATCCTTTTGGGAAGGGAAATCTATTTTGTATATATGGTGGATCTGACCCCCCTGGGGCCTGAGGGTTGGGGCCAAATAAGGTTAATTTAGCAAACTTTTAAAAAATCTTTTTCTTCTGTAGGAATGACAGGACTTTGTCCATCTAAAGAATCCTTTTGGGAAGAGGACTTAATTTGTATAAACTGTAGGAGAAAATTCTTCAAAATCCCTTTTCTTCTGTGGGAATGTTAGGATTTTGTCCAAATTTGGGATAAAGCTAGGGAAACAATTTGTATAAATGGTGGGTCTGACACCCCTTGGGGAAGAGAGGCGGGGCCCAATAAGAAATATATAGAGGATTAGCTTTAATATCCATCTTCTTCCGTTGGGATGAAGATATTTTGACCAAATTTGAACAGTAACATCCTATGGGGAAGGGAAATCAATTTTGTATAAATGGTGGGTGTGAACCCCCTGGGGGCCGAGGGATAGGGCAAAATAAGGAAATTAGAATCTTAGCTTTAAATTCCTTCTGCTTCTGTAGGAATGAGAGGATTATGTCCATATTTGGTGTAAAGCATCCTTGGGTGAAGGGGACCTAATTTTGTATCAACGGTGGGTCTGACCCCTCCTGGGGTGCAGAGGGCGGGGCCCAATAGAAGAAACATAGCAAATTCTTCAAATCCTACTTTTCCTGTAGGAATGACAGGATTATGTCCAATTGCATAAAAATATATTTCCTGACTAACAATGTAATACAGCAACATCTGGCTATTTCAACTTCAATTTTGATAACATTTCCAGGTGAGCGACACAGGCCCTATGGGCCTCTTGTGTTATGTGTGCTGGGGTGAGTCTAGTAAGGATATCCGGTAGGATTCCAGACCGAAGTTGCAGTATGGAAATTGTTTAACTCGGCAATAGACAAAAAAGAGATAAATTTAAACAGTCTGTGCCATTACTATCATTTTAAGTGGTTAATATTCAGGTACATTTAATCAATGCTTGAAATAGTATTGACTTTCAATTTCAAGGTTTCTGTCAAAAGTTATAGAATATTTATTATGCAAATGCACACAATAAAATAGAAGTAATTTAAATTACTAACATTCTAGCTGGTATATCTTAATTGACTAAAGATAACATACTGTTAGCATCACAGACTCTCAGCAGTGATGTATTCACTGTATGACAGGGGAGTTATATGATAAATGATTGTTGTACGGTAATAATACAGGGATTGTCCTACCCTATCTTTTCCGGATCCAGGGTCCAATGAATTGGGAATTTTTACGCGGTAAATTTTGAGATTGGTGAAAAATGAGGGGAATTAAAAATTTCATGCATTTTCCTGTTTCTGTTCATAAATTTTACTTCTTATCATGAGAAATTGCATTCTTTGATGTTGGAATTTCTTATTTAGTTTTCTATGCATACATGATGTAATATAAGCTTAGGTGTAGCGTACAGTTAAACTCTAGTACATTTAGTATAGGCTTGTAAAAAATTCTGATAGCCAGAATGTATTTTTACTATTTTATTATACTATATATCAAACATATACGATAGTTGTAATATTTGTCCATTTCCTTTAAAAGGAAAACTTTGATTTTAATTTATAAAACATACTGAATTAGTTGCAAAGATTGCTTCTTTGATGGTTAGTATCACTTTCTGGAGTAATACATGTTGTAAGTTTGTTTTACTCCAACTTTAATCACACAGGCGAGACAAAAATAGCAAAGTTTTACAACATCAGTGCTACATAAATAATTTAATAACATTCTGATATACACTTTTGAAATTTAATTTTCAAGGGATTAAAATATGTTTTTACTTTTCTTACGGACATGAATGTTTTTACATCTTCCCTCTCCACACTGAGCATATTTAAATCTTGCAAAAATGGCCATCCGATTAGGATCTTTTCAATGGTTAAATTGGGAATTTTAGCAAGATTTTCCGAGGGGAAAGGGGCCGTTATTCGGCCCCAAATTCTATTGTAGGAAAATCCCTGATAGCACTGATTCCGTCGGTGTCAATCAAGGAGACACCTATCCGTTTCAAACTCACTTTTAAACACGAATCCACATCATTTATTTTTTTATCTCAAATCTGCTTTTTATATAAACCAATCAACTGACCAATGAAATAAGGCAACCCTACCTTTAGTGCCACCTAGCATGTCATATAATATAACATGGGGGGTTCCCAAGACAAATCACATTTTGATTTTAATGGGCTGTTCCGAAAAACAATTTACATGTGTACGATTATAGTACAGTGAAAGCGCCACCTGCTTTAGTGCTTTAGTTTATTGTGGCAAACTTCTACAATGTACTAGTCGGGACCATTGTGTACTGGTTATATAATTACAATAATTGAGGTCAAGCAAAAAATACATAGGCCTATAGTGAAAGGTACCTTTAACTGATTTAAATGTTTGTGATTAGTTAAATGGATTGTTTCTTGTCATTTTTAGAAAGTTTGGGAAGAGCTATTTAGTAAACTGTAATCGTTGAAACACTAAGGAGTGGAATGTAGACCTGTCGTGACAAATGTTACCTGTTGTTAGATCATCCAGGTATTGATTACGTGTTTTTTACCTGTTAATAAGATCCCCTACGGTACGGAAAGCTATAAATACACTGAATGGAAATGCCCAAAAACGTGGGTAGATTGCTGGCTTTCTGGCTCACTGTTTACATGTGACTATGTGAGCATGACTAAGTGGGTTGTAGGCTGTATATTATCTACCTGGTCTAGTTGTTGTGGAAAATTCCCCAGTGCTTGGTAGATCAGGTAGACACATGTCCCAGGTTGTCTGTCCTACAGTCTGTTGTGGACATTACGGCAGGTGAACTTAGGACAGTCGAGACAACTGACCAGCTGACAGGTAAATATATTGATTAGGACTCCTATCTCCTACATAGAGATATAAATGAGGACACAACACCTGTGATTACGTCCACACTTTTGATCTAGACAACAGCGAAAGTTGACCAAGCTTTAACAGCTGTGTACATAGACTTTGTGTACACATTTTGGATCCAGACTGTTGTAAGGTTCATTTTCAACACTGGTTTACTGTCATACATTGATATGTTTGGTTTAGATATAGTACAGACTGTTGACATGGACCTATTGTTGATACTTGTACCTACAGGTGTGTAACACAAAGCTTATAATGGACGGATGTACGTACAACATATGGTGATGAAATACACGTTTTAGTTTATGTGATACTAGGGCCCTGTGTACTCTGTACAATGGAAGTGCATTATAAAGTGACACAGACTTCCTCACCCACTCATCACCACCTCCTAGAGAGGGACGACCAGGGCACTGAGGGCGGAGACAGACCTTTACCTGTCAGAGACAGATTGTTCCCAGTAGAAACCTAACATTAGTTGTTACATTGATACCTTAGTATCTGATTGCCTACCTGTTGATCACCTGCCGAGGCAAAGTGACACGTTAATTTTGTATGCTTGAAAAATTGTTAAAATTGTGATCTAGAATGAAAATATTAGTTTAGACTTGAGTACATGTGCAAGTTTCTATTACTGTGTCTGTCCAGGATCGTCTGCTAATTAAACACCACCTGAAAAAGGTAAGATATAGATATAAAGGTAATATAAGTTATCTGTGTTGAAGATCAGCTGAGACGTACATCCTTGACTTTTAGCTCAGAGCTAAACACTTGTGATATGTAAAGTGCCTGTCATACCTGTGTGATACACCTAGACAAAGTGAAAATTACACATCTTCTACACTTTATTCATTTCTTCTGTAATTTTAACTTTTCTTAATGAAAGTTCACCTTTTATTTAATTCAAATAGAGAGATTTTGTCACTCTAGATTGTATATACATGTATACCATGTATACATCAATTCTGATACAATTGGTACTGTTTGATGGTTTGCAATGAAACACAGGTACATAACTAGGATGTTTATATGATTTAATATGTCAGCTATTTATAGCCAAGATATAGATATACCTTTACCGATACTTTACCACTGCCAAAACATGTAACTAGCAAAATAGGCTCTTGTTCTGCCAGGACTATCGCTGCAGTGATAAATCATTTCTGGAAAGTAAAAGATACATTAGGGGACTTTATTAAAATATATACTAGTAATAAAACAGAACAATCCAGAACAGTGTACTGAGTGTAAATAAATAGAACAGGACTAGAGAACGATTTGAACCCTGCACCTGTGATCATTATCCTTGCTCTATAGAAGTGTCATTACAGTTATAAACTACTATATAAGGGGTAAAGTACTTATCTACAGCTATAGTACATGTCTAGGGGTATTGTACCCTACACCTGTGATCATTGTCCTTGCTCTATAGAAGTGTCATTACAGTTATAAACTACTATATAAGGGGTATAGTACTTATCTACAGGTATAGTACATCTAGGGGTATTGTACCTATCTAGGGGTAAAGTAACTCTCTAGGGGTTTAGTACATATACTTGTCTAGAGGTTTAGTACCTGTTTAAGGGTATAGTGCCTGTCTAGGGGTATAGTACCCGATTAAGGGTATAGTACCTTTTTAGGTGTATAGTAACTGTTTAAGGGTATAGTACCTTTTTAGGTGTATAGAACCTGTCTAGCAGTATAGTATACTTTCTGTCTAAGGGTATAGTACCTGTCTAGGGGTGTAGTACCTGTCTAGCAGTATAGTATAATTTCTGTCTAGGGGTATAGTACCTCTCTAGGCGTGTAGTACCTGTCTAGGGGTATAGTACCTGTCTAAGGGGTATAGTACCTGTCTAGGGGTTTGATACCTGTCTAGGGGTATAGTACCTGTCTAAGGGGTATAGTACCTGTCTAGGAGTATATTACCTGTCTAGGGGTATAGTACCTGTCTAGGGGTATAGTAATAGTACTTGTCTAAGGGTATAGTACCTGACTATGGGTATAGTACATGTCTAAGGGTATAGTACCTGTCTTAGGGTATAGTACCTGTCTGGTGGTATATTACCTGTCTAGGGGTATAGTTCTAGGTTAGGGGTATAGTACCTGTCTAAGGGTATAGTTCCTATCTAGGGGTATAGTACCTGTCTAGGGGTATAGTACCTGTCTAGGGGTATAGTAATAGTACTTGTCAAAGGGTATAGTACCTGACTATGGGTATAGTACCTGTCTAAGAGTATAGTACCTGTCTCAGGATTAAGGATTAAGGATATAGTACCTTTTTAGGTGTATAGTAACTGTTTAAGGGTATAGTACCTTTTTAGGTGTATAGAACCTGTCTAGTAGTATAGTATACTTTCTGTCTAAGGGTATATATAGTACCTGTCTATGGGTGTAGTACCTGTCTAGTAGTATAGTATAATTTCTGTCTAGGGGTATAGTACCTCTCTAGGGGTGTAGTTCCTGTCTAGGGGTATAGTACCTGTCTAAGGGGTATAGTACCTGTCTAGGGGTGTAGTACCTGTCTAGGGGTTTAATACCTGTCTAGGGGTATAGTACCTGTCTAAGGGGTATAATACCTGTCTAGGAGTATATTACCTGTCTAGGGGTATATTACCTGTGTTAGGGTATAGTACCTGTCTAGGGGTATAGTACCTGTGTAAGGGTATAGTACCTGTCTAGGGGTATAGTACCTGTCTAAGGGTATAGTACCTGTCTAGGGGTATATTACCTGTCTAGGGGTATATTACCTGTCTAGGGGTATAGTACCTGTGTTAGGGTATAGTACCTGTGTTAGGGTATAGTACCTGTCTAGGGGTATAGTACCTGTGTTAGGGTATAGTACCTGTATAGGGGTATAGTACTTGTGTAAGGGTATATTACCTGTCTAGGGGTATAGCACTTGTGCAAGGGTATAGTACCTGCCTAGGGGTATAGTTCCTGTGTTAGGGTATAGTACCTATGTAAGGGTATAGTACCTGCCTAGGGGTATAGTTCCTGTGTTAGGGTATAGTCCCTGTCTAGGGGTATAGGACCTGTGTTAGGGTATAGTCCCTGTCTAGGGGTATAGTGCCTGTGTTAGGGTATAGTACCTGTCTAGGGGTATAGTACTTGTGTAAGGGTATATCACCTGTCCAGGGGTATAGTACCTGTGTTAGGGTATAGTACCTGTGTAAGGGTATAGTACCTGTTTAGGAGTATAGTACCTGTGTAGGGGTATATTACCTGTGTAGGGGTATAGTACCTGTCTAGGGGTATAGTACTTGTGTAAGGGTATAGTACCTGCCTAGGGGTATAGTTCCTGTGTTAGGGTATAGTACCTGTGTAAGGGTATAGTACCTGTCTAGGGGTATAGTTCCTGTCTAGTGGTATATTACCCGTGTAGGGGTATAGTACCTGTCTAGGGGTATAGTACTTGTGTAAGGGTATATCACCTGTCTAGGGGTATAGTACCTGTGTTAGGGTATAGTACCTGTGTAAGGGTATAGTACCTGTCTAGGGGTATAGTACCTGTGTAGGGGTATAGGACCTGTGTTAGGGTATAGTACCTGTCTAGGGGTATAGTACCTTTGTTAGGGTATAGTACCTGTCTAGGGGTATAGGACTTGTGTAAGGGTATATTACCTGTCTAGGGGTATAGTACCTGTCTAGGGGTAAAGTACCTGTCTAGGGGTATAGTACCTGTCTAGGGGTATAGTACCTGTCTAAGGGTATAGTACCTGTCTAGGGGTATAGTACCTGTGTTAGAGTAAAGTACTTGTCCTGAAAAACATGATAGCACTGTTACTACTTTACTGTCAAAGAAGCCAATAATGTAAGACAATTGGCAGAACATTTATAGCTCAGGGTCCAGACTGCTGTATGTAAGCCAGCCCAGATTTGGTCAATGACATACTGATATATAGTACCTCTGGGTCATATCAGTGCATGATGGCTCGCCTGGTGTTGTGTCTGGTGAACAGCTGCTACTACCATGATTACAATATAAATATACAATTATAAACCAGGGATGTCGCATGGGCTAGTGGCTTATTGTTCACATATAAAGATATCACTGTCCAGGTAAAACTGTACTTTGTCGAACAGGTGCAGGAAACAATTCCAGGTAACACAAATTATATACAGGGAAATCAGAAATACTTTGTTTGGGTACATCATCTCCAATTTATAGTGTCAGAAGTAATATACAAAGTGTGGTTAGACACTGTAAAAGTGTTGTCGTGACTGAGGGTTATCTAGCTGTATATATAGTTGGACTGGGTTTTAGGACAGACCTGCAAACAATAAGTCTGGTGTAACAAGGACATAGTCATTTAGATCTCACGCCCAGGGAATGTGCAAGGGGACAATCCAAATCTCAAGGGTAGAGGGAAAGGGGACAAATTAATGATGAAGGGGGGTAACAGAGATAAGAACTATCCAGGCAAATGTCTGACCATTGTTAGCTTAATCTTAATCTGTCACTTGACACAGTACATTCCGCCTATCAATTGGAGAGTGAATGGGTGTAGATCTAGCCCCTCTCACACGTATCACTTACAATGTGCTGGTATTCCCAAGATCTAGCCCCTCTCACACGTATAACTTACAATGTGCTGGAATTCCCCCTGTCTCTGTTCATGTTTTGAGGGTTTCTGATTTTTCTGATTTCTTTGATTTGTCTCATTTTTAGTCCAGCTGGCCCAAACAGATGTGTGGCCCCCCGTGGGGCAGAGGAACAGGACCCTATAGGTGAAATAGAGGTAAATTTTCAAAAAGCTTCTCCTTCTATAACAATGGAGGGATTTCAACCAAATTTGTTTTAGCCATCTCACACATATAACTTACAATGGGCTGGTATTTCCCAGATCTAGCCCCTCTCACACATATGACTTACAATGTGCTGGTATTCCCAAGATCTAGCCCCTCTCACACGTATCACTTACAATGTGCTGGTATTCCCAAGATCTAGCCCCTCTCACACGTATCACTTACAATGTGCTGGTATTCCCAAGATCTAGCCCCTCTCACACGTATCACTTACAATGTGCTGGTATTCCCCAGGTCTAGGCCCTCTCACACATATAACTTACAATGGGCTGGTATTTCCCAGATCTAGCCCCTCTCACACATATGACTTACAATGTGCTGGTATTCCCAAGATCTAGCCCCTCTCACACGTATAACTTACAATGTGCTGGTATTCCCCCTGTCTCTGTTCATGTTTTGAGGGTTTCTGATTTTTCTGATTTCTTTGATTTGTCTCATTTTTAGTCCACCTGGCCCAAACAGATGTGTGGCCCCCCGTGGGGCAGAGGAACAGGACCCTATAGGGGAAATAGAGGTAAATTTTCAAAAAGCTTCTCCTTCTATAACAATGGAGGGATTTCAACCAAATTTGTTTTAGAGCATCGTTGGGCAAAGGGGACACAATTTTGACTTTGACCCACTTTCTAGGTCACTTGGGTCATCAAATTTTAAAAAAGAAGTCTTCAAACAACTTTTTCTGAATAACCAAAAGACCATGGGTGATGCTATCTGGCTAGTTAGCATGCTGGGGTGAAGGGGTACAGAGTGTATTATAATGAACCTTAAACTGTCACAGGGATCAAGACTTTGAAAAAAAATGCTTCTTATTAACCTAAAAGCCCATGATGATATTTGGCCTGTTGCTTAATTTAGCCCATTTTACTATGTTTGCCATGAGTGTCCACTTTGAAGGTAACTGGTGTGAGATTAATGCCAGTTGAGTGATTCAGGACCATTGAGCCTCTTGTTCTTTTATTATCAGATTATTGCAATGTAAAGAAAAAGAATAGATCAAACCTCACTTGCTGAAAACCATTAATTTCCTTTCATGAATTTTAATTCTTAATGATTGCACATTAAAAGAAAATAGAATTGATTAGAAGATTTTCAAAGTGTTTAGTTATTCAGATTTGTTTTAAAAATGTTATCAAATCAGATATCATTTAATACAATAGATCGTGATACATTTGTGTCATTGTGTGAGTTGGCAGTGGTTGTTGGCTAATGGAACCTGGTCAGCTCCTGTGTGATGTCCCTCTAGCTAATGGCCAGTAGTTGTTCAGTCATTATAGTTATCAGTACAGAAAAGGTTGGCTCACCTGTACAGGATATGGAGACCTGTACATGCATATTTAATAAGCTAGATAATGAGACTACCAGAGACGTCACTGTTGTAGTCTGTGATGAGTCACTGGTCCTGATGACACTATAAGCTATTAGTCATTACACCTGTGTCTCTAGCTGTTTACCACCTTTGAAGTACATATACATCCTCATTAGTTGTTTCTGATATGTCCACTCTATGGCTGAAACACTCAGACACCCTGATACCAGCTATAACATTGTGAGTTTGAAGATAGTTCATGATGGTATGGAGCTTTGTAAGCTTACAACAAATTTAAAAGAAACTCTCGATCAGAACTTTTTTTAGCCCGAAGGACCAAGTAAGCTTATGCCGTCGCCAATCGTCCATATGTCATTTACTTTTTTCTTATCAGTAACCAAAAGGCCCAGGGTGAATTTATTCGGCCGATAGCATGCTGGGATGAAGGGCTACTAAGTTTGTTCAATTGAATGACCTTGACAAAGTTTCAAGATCAAAGGGGTCACGTAGAGTGATGGCATTTTGCCAGGAGCATGCCCTGATGAAGAGCTACGAAGTTTAATTGAAAGAATGTCCTTTTTCCATTGTAAAGATCACAGGGAACAAATGTGTTGAAAAAATTCACTAGGGTGATGATATTTGGCATGTCGTCTGCTGGGAAGAAGAGCCATCATGTTTGTTAAAAGGAATTACCTTGTTATTTTCTAGCTCACGTGTGTTCAAATCTTTTACATGTTCTTTGGAATGACTGAGAGTCCTAGGTAATGAAGTTTAGTCTAACTTTAATTTGTTTTAGTCCACTTAAAGGTTTCAAGTGTGAGATTAATGAGCAATGTAGGCCCTTTGGGCCTCTTGTCTACATTGCTCATTAACCTTAAGTTACTTTTGGTTGTTTTCAATTGATGTTAAGGGAACATTTTCTTCCATATAGCGCCTAGTACATCTACATCAATAAAATAAACAGATGATGAATTCACCAGTTTTATGTTGGTGAAACTGACCGTACTTTCAGAGGTCACACTACCAGAGGTGCCTCATTATCTGTTATTGCTAGGTCTGGTTATTAATGAGCTACGTGTACCTGATAAGGCTGTCCCAGCCCTCCTCCTCATGTAGACCATACTACACAGCTTTATAAGGCTTATAGAGTACCAACTACAGCCGGGGACATCAGGGCTCATTTGTACTGCACCTAATATAAGGGATCTAGTACAGAACGTTGTCAATGTCAATACATACATGTAGACGGAAGTTGTTGGTGAAGGATCTGTATTGGACAAGGGTAGGACAAACGTCAGTTATACTACAACTTGTAAGGACATTCTGGACAGGTGATCATACTAAGTACGAGTATATTCTGTCACCAACACAACATACATTTTTTTTTATATTTTTTAAATTTTTAGAGACATTTTTATTACATAAACTAATGTAGAAATACTTTAATGTTAAACTTAATTTCTATCTTTAGCATAGCAACAGGTTGAAGCGGAAGCATTACAGAGAAATTATTGACACTCTGTCATCTGAATCCGTATTTAATTTAGCATTATGTCTATATTCACTCTGAAAACATTGATATTGTTCCAAGGTATATTTGTTCATTTAAAACCATATCACCTTAGTTTCCTCTTTCCTTGTGAAGATGATCTTTTTATGTTCACGTAGGTACTTTGCTCAGTTGAATGGAATGGAATGGTTAATACAAACCTTAATGAGTTATTTTGGGGTTTGGATACCTGAACTGTCACCTGAATAGGAATAATGTACCTGAACCGTCAGGTAGATTCATAAAAATATCTCTATACATGGTTGGGATACCTGAACCATCAGGTACCTAGTGAACTGTCAGGTAGGAGTGTACCTGAGTACAGGCTTGGGGTACCTGAACTGTCAGGTAGGAGTGTACCTGCGTACAGGGTTGGGATACCTGAACCATCAGGTACCTAGTGAACTGTCAGGTAGGAGTGTACCTGAGTACAGGCTTGGGGTAACCTGAACTGTCAGGTAGGAGTGTACCTGAGTACAGGCTTGGGGTACCTGAACTGTCAGGTAGGATTATATCTGAGTACAGGGTTGTGGTACCTGAGTACAGGGTTGGGGTACCTGAACTGTCAGGTAGGAGTGTACCTGAGTATAGGGTTGGGGTACCTGAGTACAGGGTTGGTATACCTATGTATAGGGTTGCTGTACTTGAGTACAGGGTTTTGATACCTGAGTACAGGGTTGGGATACCAGAGTACAGGGTTGGGGTACCTGAGTACAGGGTTAGGGTACCTGAACTGTCAGGTAGAAGTGTACCTGAGTACAGGGTTGGGGTACCTGAACTGTCAGGTAGGATTATATCTGAGTACAGGGTTGGGGTACCTGAACTGTCAAGTAGGAGTGTACCTGAGTACAGGGTTGGGGTACCTGAGTACAGGGATGGTATACCTATGTATAGGGTTGCTGTACTTGAGTACAGGGTTGTGATACCTGAGTACAGGGTTGGGATACCAGAGTGCAGGGTTGGGGTACCTGAATACAGGGTTAGGGTACCTGAACTGTCAGGTAGGAGTGTACCTGAGTACAGGGTTGGGGTACCTGAGTACAGGGGTGGTATACCTATGTATAGGGTTGCTGTACTTGAGTACAGGGTTGGGATACCTGAGTACAGGGTTGGGATACCAGAGTGCAGGGTTGGGGTACCTGAGTACAGGGTTAGGGCACCTGAGTACAGGGTTGGGTTTACGTGAGTACAGGGTTGGGGCACCTGAGTACAGGGTTAGGGTACCTGAGTACAGGGTTGGGATATCTGAGTACAGGGTTAGGGTACCTGAGTACAGGGTTGGGGTACCTGAGTACAGGTTGGGTTTACGTGAGTACAGGGTTGGGATACCTGAGTACAGGGTTGAGGTACCTGAGTACAGGGTTGGGGTACCTGAGTACAGGTGGGGTTTACGTGAGTACAGGGTTAAGAGTATATGAACTGTTCGGTAGGAGTAAACCAGAGTACAGGGTTGGGATACCAGAACACAGCGTTGGAATACCTGAATCATTAGGCAGGAACACAATGTTTTTATCTGAGTAGGGTATACCTGACGCCTCTGTTAGATACCACTGTATGAGTAAAACGGCTACCCTACATCATACAGTACACTTGTGTGTTTGTGTTCCTGATATCAGAGAGATTTGATACTTTACAGGATCCAGGTGTTATAAGGTATGTTGTCTATCGCCAGTAAAAAGTTAAAAAAAAATGTCACATATTTTGGCACACAGATAAAGATCCTTACCAGACAGTAAGTGTTTTATTAATTCTTTAAAAACTTTTTACTCTCTATTTGATTGTCAAGTTTTTCCCAGGGTCTTAAGTAGAGATCTTTACACTTGGTGTACATTTGGTTTACCTGTAAGGTTTAGAGGGGTTAAACCCATTGGCCGGACTCCAGTCTCAGTGCTATGCATTGTCTATACTTTAACAACAAAAGGGCTTCTATTTCCTGTATAAACATGTGTGTATCTGCCCAGTTAGAATGTTTCGGGCAGGAATCAGTTTAATTCGTCCATGCAAGCAAGCACAGCAGTTCCTCAGTTATGTGTAATTATTGGTGTACGATCCTGAATAAGAGCTAAGATTACAGGTGCTTTATGTATTGTTGATGAAGTTTGTGTGATCTGTATCTGAGGACACTGAGTTTCTTTGTCACTAAGTATCGGGTGTTGTGTTTCAGACTTACCTCGTATGTAGAGTGATTAAGGACAGGTAACAGACACATCATGTGACAGGTGTGAGGACATTCTGGAGTCCAGTAATACAGCCCCTGTATGACAGAACAGACCTATCTTGTAGTTGTCCACTACCCACCCAGGACCCGGGACGACTGTACTGGTCAATTTGTGGCCATTGGTCATCATGTCAGTGCAGACATCAATCACGATGACACCTGACCGTATACGTAACAAAGGGCCAGACTTCCTACGGAATCATGTCAGCAGCAGCAACAACAACATCTTTGGTGAGTTCATAGTTCATTTACTACCTTACACTGGGGTGTTTTTTGCTCACCTGACCCAAAGGGCCCAGTAAAATGGTGTGTCATCCATCTGTCTGGCATTAACTGTTTACTTAAGCAACAAATTGATAAAATTATAATAATGATACATAGAAAAAAATATAAAGTCTTTTTTAGAGTGACCAAAAACACATAACAATGGCTATAAACAACAAATGTTTTTTTCTGCTTACACACAACCCTAATTGTAAGTTTTTCAATAGAGGAAGGGAGACAATCATTTATATTTTGTAGGAGTGCTTTGAAGTTTTCCCTCAGAATCAGAAGAATTGCTTATTACTCATACAATACCCTTAACATTTAATGAAGACACTCTTGTAGTTGGTTTTTGTTTGATCACACAGCTAGGATCTTTAGCAGGAAAGATAACATAATTATAGTATCACCTAATTCACTCAGGTGACCTGTTTTGATCACTCGACTTTGTCTGTCATCCACCATCATCCATCATCCTCACTTGGTGGTTATCATCAGTCTGAGGTGGGAATCAGAATAAATTAAAATGTCTACTTGAAATGGGGCCGATCCCCTATGGGCTGAAGGGCAGCGACATAATTCCGGTCATAGAAAGCTAAACCTTCAAAAGATTTCTGTTAAACTTAAGGTGGAATTTCTCCAACTCTCATAGAATGGTGCCTAGATGATCAGGGTCAGAACTGTTACTACAGGAGAGGCTCAAAATCATAATCAAGAATGGTGTGACCCTCACCCACAGGAGGCTGGGATAGGATTGTTATCATAGGATTGTTTACCTATTCTCCCTTCATGGGGTAAATTTCACTTAATTGCAGTATTACTTCATCATTTATTGACATTACTTACTGGTTTAGTAGTGAATTATTGGTGGCAGCTCTTGTCAACACAATAAAGGACCATTACAAAGTTAAAAGATACATTTCTTATGGTTTTATGTGGCTGCAAGTGTTGAGCAATAAATGGAGAAAAAAACTAGTCGGAGCTTTCAATAGTTTGTCAATAAAGTCTCACTTGACATAGTAATGGCAAGGAACAGAAATTAAGTTTAATATTTGTTTTAATTACTGTTTGTGACTTACATTACAACCATTCCCTGTAGCTGTTTCCTATGTGCTTCTCATTATTTATTTGTGACTATCTCCACTTAGGCCACACCAATTTGAAAAATAGTTTTTCGGGGAATTACCGCTCTTAAAATCTGAAGTAGAGAAAGAAAACAAAACTTTTTTTACCGCTCCTCCAAAAAAATATCCGAATTCCGGATTTTTTTTATCTGTTTTTAGTTTTACACATCGCTAATTTGGGTCGCTTTGACGCTTGAATCACAAGGAAAGTGAAGCATTTTGGTGATGCAGCTGAAAACCGAGACAAGAGAGAAAACGTGCCGGTCTATTTTCAAATGACTTGTTTCATTTAATAGGAGATTAGTGGACGCAGGCATTGCTGCCTCTATATCAACATAAATATAATCTTAATTACAATGTGGTAAACCTAAAATAAGCCTATACACAAGACGTGTTTTTTTTTCATTGTGTCAAAGAGTGGGGTTTTTTTTGCTGCAAGATCGAACAATCCCTCCAACAAATTCAAATCATATTGTCCAGTCATAAGCTTGAACACATTGATCATTTAACTGTGATCTAGGTGATCCAAATAAGTATTTTTATGCATGTTTAAATTTCCATGTGAGTACTTGTTATTACTCAAACTATTAGCATGTTTTGGCAATAGTCTATTTGATATCATTATTTTGACATTGTTTTTACTATAATTTTCAAATGACTGTTATTTTTCTCCCCAAGTTGTGGGATCAATAAGCATTGTACCGTTTGGTTTTAGTTTATAATTTGATATATTTTTTCTTTGAATTTAATGTATCTTTCTAATAATAAAAAAATAATTTGAATATTCTTTCATTTAGTTCTGAAACATAATAAGATCAAAACCAAGGAAAAGGGTCCTTAGCAGGTAAATATGTAGGCAGTTATGTAGATTTTTAGAAATTTTACGCATCGTTTTATAAATACAAAGATATAATGAAATAAAAGTACTATTTTGATCGGGGCCTGTATTCTAGATATGATAACATAGAACCTACAAGGACCATTTCTTTAGAATGATGATGCCAGATATGAATAGAAAAGGTAAAACTGGTTTTGTTCTGGTCTTGGGACAGGTGAGAATGATACTGAGGTTTGTTTTACCATTCCAGCTGTCATAAATGAATTTGCCTGATGTGAACTATTTTGAAACACAATGCATGTACTGTGAAAAATGGATATCATTTTCAAGTGAAACATTTTATTCCATGTGAGAATTCAAGTTATATGCAACACATCCACTGCTTTCCATTATTATAGGTATATTCTTCATTTTAACATTCCCAGTACAAAAACATAAAAAAAAATCCACCCCTCGCTACTGTTTTTTTTTTAAATTTCCCGAAGAACTATTTTTCAATTTGGTGTGGCCTTACCATTCTTGTTCTAATCTAGTAGTATGATGTATATATTATACACAGTCTACAATTTCAATAAAGAATATTTCATTCCTACTCTGTAAAAGACATTGGCGTGAATAAGGAAAGGATTGCAGCATTGCAAATTCACATATTAATCTGAAAATAGAATTCTAAAAGAAATCAAACGTTATGAAATAAAATCTCCTGCTTAATAACTGAGAGGCTTAGGGTGATGATATTTGGCTGGCAGCATGCTGTTGAAGGGCTATCAAGTGTGTTCAATTGAAGTTATGTTCATTACAAATCTTGTTGAATCATCATGATACTTCATAATATGATTAAAGAACGTAGAGTTGTCACAATTTTGAGCCAACAAAAGTGCTAGTGCTTCATAGAAGTTGTAAAAACTTGTTTTATAATTTTTTCAAAAAAACCCACAAAAGTGGTTTACATTTACTTAAAATGCATATTGAATTTTGTGACTGATCAGAAAACCAAAATGGTCGATCCTGCGAGGCATGGAAATTAATTTTCTGTAAAGCTGTCAATACACATCCCTGCCAGTGACTATTGTGGTATGGAAATGTATCCCTGTAAAGCTGACAATAAATGTCCCAACTAGTGACTGATGTGGTATGGTAACTAATCCCTGTAAAGCTGACAACACATGTCCCTACCAGTGACTGATGTCGTATGGTAACTTATCCCTGTAAAGCTGTCATTACATGTCCCTACCAGTGACTGGTGTGGTACGGTAACTATTCCCTGTAAAGCTGACAATACATGTCCCTACCAGTGACTGATGTGGTACGGTAACTAATCCCTGTAAAGCTGACAATACATGTCCCTACCAGTGACTGCTGTGGTATGGTAACTAATCCCTGTAAAGTTGACAATACATGTCCCTACCAGTGACTGCTGTTGTATGGTAACTAATCCCTGTAAAGCTGACAATGCATGTCTCTACCAGTGACTGATGTGGTTTGGTAACTAATCCCTGTAAAGCTGACAATGCATGTCTCTACCAGTGACTGATGTGGTTTGGTAACTAATCCCTGGAAAGCTGACAATACATGTCCCTACCAGTGACTGCTGTGGTATGGAAACTAATCCCTGTAAAGTTGACAATACATGTCCCTACCAGTGACTGATGTAGTATGGAAACTTATCCCTGTAAAGCTGACATTACATGTCCCTACAAGTGACTGATGTGGTACGGTAACTATTCCCTGTAAAGCTGACAATACATGTCCCTATCAGTGACTGCTGTGGTATGGTAACTAATCCCTGTAAAGCTGACAATACATGTCCCTACCAGGGACTGATGTAGTATGGAAACTTATCCCTGTAAAGCTGTCATTACATGTCCCTACCAGTGACTGATGTGGTACGGGAACTATTCCCTGTAAAGCTGACAATACATGTCCCTGCCAGTGACTGATGTGGTACGGTAACTAATCCCTGTAAAGCTGACAATACATGTCCCTACCAGTGACTGATGTAGTATGGTAACTAATCCCTGTAAAGTTGACAATACATGTCCCTACCAGTGACTGCTGTGGTATGGTAACTAATCCCTGTAAAGCTAACAATACATGTCCATACCAGTGACTGCTGTCGTATGGTAACTAATCCCTGTAAAGTTGACAATACATGTCCCTACCAGTGACTGATGTAGTATGGTAACTAATCCCTGTAAAGCTGACAATGCATGTCCCTACCAGTAACTGATGTGGTTTGGTAACTAATCCCTGTAAAGCTGACAATACATGTCCCTATCAGTGACTGCTGTGGTATGGTAACTAATCCCTGTAAAGCTACCAATACATGTCCCTACCAGTGACTGCTGTGGTATGGAAACTAATCCCTGTAAAGTTGACAATACATGTCCCTACCAGTGACTGCTGTGGTATGGTAACTAATCCCTGTAAAGCTGACAATACATGTCCCTACCAGTGACTGCTGTTGTATGGTAACTAATCCCTGTCCAGTAGCTGATAATCTGACAATGTATGTTCCTGCCCTATTACTGCGTGGCATTGAAACTAATTTGCTGTTAAACTGACTATATGTGTTGTTATTTAGGTAAAGCTAATAATGAGTTACGAAGGGTATTCCATATATCTGAGGTTGAATAACCAGTATGTAGGAGTATGACATTATAGCTATAATAATATTTGAAGCATTTATCTGAGGAGTCTGAATCTGTTGCCTTGTCCATGCCAATGAGCACCTCTTTTAAGGTTATGCTTCTGAAGATATAAGTAGGGTAATTCTTTAGTAATTGAAGTTACTTGGTTGTTTGTAATTGGTCATATAGCAAGATCTTGATGGAGCTGTAATTATGTTTCATTTCCAATATATATGCTCAGCACAGTAGTCATTTATGCCAAATTGCTGATTATGCAGAAAGAGATTTAATGGAACGAAGGGAAAGAATCAATTGTTGCATTTAGAGGGACAATCTGATTTGATTTGACTTCTAAGGAGACTAAGTGTAACCCAA